TAAAGGCGGATAACCTTGTCTTATTCTTGATCTTAAGGGAAAAGCTTTTTTTCCCCATTGTGTATGATGTTGGCCACAGGTTCCTTGTTTATTATATTGAGGGATGCTCCCTCTAATCCTACTTTGCTGAGAGTTTTTATAATAAATTGGTGTTAGATTTTATCAAATTCTTTTTCTGCAACTATTGATATGATCATTGTATGGGTTTTGTCTTTCCTTTTGTTTATGTGATGTACTGTGTTTATTGATTTGCAAATATTGTACCATCCTTGCACCTCATGCATGAATCCCAGTTGATCATGTTGTATGATCTTTTTAATGTATTGCTGTATCCAGTTTGCTAATATTTTGTTGAGGATTTTAGCATTTAGTTCATCTGAGCTTGTGCTCTGTGATATTCTTCCTTTGTTGTGTCTTTACCTGGATTTGGAATTAAGATAATATTGGCCTCTAAAAATGAGTTTGGTAGTCTTTCCTCTTCTTGAATCATTTGAAATATTTTGAGAAGAACAGGAGTTAGTTCTTACTGTTTTTTTTTATTTTTACTGTTCAAGTATAGTTGTCTTTATTTCTCCCCACCATTCCCCCACCCCAGCCATCCCTACTTCCCATCCTCCATCCTACTGCCCTTTGAGACTTCTTCAAATGTTTGGTAAAAATTGCCAGTGAAGCCATCCAATCCAGGACCTTTGTGTGCTAAAAGTTTTTTGATTACTGATTCGATTTCAGTAGTTGTTACCTGTCTATTCAAGCTTTCTGCTTCTTCTTGAATCAGTTTTGAAAGATTGTATATTTCTAGAAATTTATTAATTTTGGCCATGTTGTCCAGAAAATGATGACATTTTTGTGCACCAACAATTTACTGTGAGAAAGAGAAACTAAGAAAAAAATGTGTTAACTATAGCAACAAGAAAAATAAAGTACCTAGGAATAAATATAACCAAGGAGGTAAAAGACCTGTACTTGGAAAATTATAAAACACTGAACAAAGAAATTGAGAAAGATACAAATAAATGGAAGCTTATACTGTGTTCATGGATTAGAATAATTAACATCATTAAATTGTTCATATTACCCAAAGCAATCTATAGATTCAACACAATCCTTATTAAAGTACCAATGGCAGAGTTCAATGATCTAGAACAAATACTCCAAAATGTATATAGAACCAAAAAAGACCCCAAATAGACTCAGTAATCTTGGGAAAGAAAAATAAATTAGGAAGGATCACAATATCTGATTGAAAAAAAAACCACTATAGTACAATGCCACCATAATCTTATACCAGCCTGGTACTGGTATAAGAATAGACACATAGATCAATGGAACAGAATAGAGAGCCCAGAAATGAAGTCATGCCTCTATAGTCAGTTAATATTTGACAAAAGGGGCACAAGCATAAAATAGAGTAAAAATAGTCTCTTCAATAAATGGTGTTGGGAGAACTGGACAGTACATGCAAAAAAATGAAACTAGACTACAAACGTACCCCATAGACCAGAATACACTCAAAATGGGTAAAAGACTTAAATATAAGTCATGATACCATAAAAATCCTACCAGAAAACATTGGTAGTGAAGTTTCAGATATCCCGTGTAGCAGTGTTGTTGCCTATATATCTCCTAGGGCAAGGGAAATAAAAGGGAAAAATAAAGAAATGGGACTACATCACATTGAAAAGTTTCTGCATGGCTAAAGAAACCATCATCAACATGAAAAGGGAACAAACTGTATGGAAGAACATATTTGCTAATAATACATCAGACAATGACAATCTCCAAAATATATAAAGAACACATATTACCCAACACCAGGAAGACAAACAATGCAATTAAAAAATGGACAAATGGCTTCAATAGACACTTCTCCAAAGAGGACATAGAGATGGCCAATAGACATATGAAACAATCCTCAACATCACTAGCCATCAGAGACATGCAAATTGAAACCACATTGAGGTGTCTCCTCACACCTGTCAGAATGCCGTCATTAATAAAGCAACAAACAACAAGTGCTGATGAGAATGTGGAGAAAAGGGAACTTTAGTGCACTGTTGGTGGGAATGCAGACTTGTGCGGCCACTGTGGAAAATAGTATGGAATTTCCTCAAAAAAATTAAAAAAGGAACTGCCTTTTGACCCAGTGGTTCCACTGCTGGGAATATACCCTAAGAATACAGAAACACCAGTTGAAAAGAACTTATGCACCCCTATGTTCATAGCAGTGATATTTACAATAGCCAAGTGCTGGAAACAGCCTAAGTGCCCAGCAGTAGATGAGTCGATCAAAAACTTGTACATTTATACAATGAGATACTATGCAGCAGAAAGAAAGAAGGAACTCCTAACTTTCAGGACAACATAGATGGAACTGGAGAGTACTAAACTAAGTGAAATAAGCCAGTCAGTAAAAGACAAATACCATATGATCTCACTTATAAAAGGAATTTAATGAACAAAATATACTAACAAGCAAATAGAATCAGAGACATGGATACATAGAGCAAACTGATAGTGGACAGAGGGGACAGGGAGCGGGATAGTGATGGAAAGAAGGGGGGGGTACTAATCAAAGAACATGTATAAATAACCCATGAACATGGACAACAGTGTGGGGACTGACTGTGGGGGGTTGGGGTGGGGGGAAAGCTGGGTGGAGAAAGGCAAAAGGGGAAAATTGGAACAACTGTAATAGAATAAGAATAACAAATAAATTTTAAAAAGAAAAATAAACTCATTTAAATGAACCTCCCCCAAAAAAGAGGGTGAAGAAGAATAATTGTTGAAAAAAGAGACTTGATTTTAATTTTGTATGATGAACACACAATAAAATATATAGGTTATGTATTATAGAACTCTACACTTGAAATCTATATGTTTATTACCCAATGTCACCCCTAAAAATTAATAATATAAGTGAACAAAAACTGAAAAAAAGAATCCATGTCTTCAAATAGAAATAGGCACTGTATATTATTAATATATTATTAGTTATATGAATAAGGTGATATTTGTTGTGTTCTTATATAAAATTGTTTAACATAATATTCTCTATATTTCTGAATTACTCATGAAGGAAATGAATAAGAATATGTTAGCTAAGCATATACGTTCTACATGTCAAATTTAGCCCAATCCATTATAATTCCTGATGAGAAGCTGAATAGCAAGAAAAAGATTGATTTCTTTGTGGGGGAGGTGGTGAATATTAATACAGTCTAGATTTTTTTTACTGTGCCATGCTGGACACAACCATGTTTAAAAAAGGTTTGCCCAATAAATAAATGTTTTGTTCCCAGAATTTATCATTTTGAAAAATAAGGCTTGCTTGTTTTTCCTTTATATGTGAAACATATCCTCATTACAGAAAAAATATAAATTCAGAAAGATTGAAAGAACATTGTTTTAATGACAGTGTCTTTTTTATAGTACCCTTACTGTTTAGGATTAGGGGTGTCCAACCTTTTGGCATCTCTGGGCCACACTGGAAGAAGAAGAGTTGCCTTGGTCCACACATTAAATACATTGCAACACATAATCACATAAAAAACCTCATGATATTTTAAGTAAATTCACGATTTTGCGTTGGGCTGCGTTCATAGCCATCCTGGGCTGCATACAGCCCACAGGTCGCAGGTTGACACCTCTGGTTTAGGTGGTGCTATTTAATATTCTCACTATTTAGAGGTGTAAAACAATGTCATGAGAAAAGCATATTCTTATATATACTTTCATAGTAATTGCAGTTTTTCATTGGAAATCTAGAAGTGGAATTGCTACATCTAAAGCATGCACATTTTTATGACTTTCTAGATTCCTTCCCAAGTTGTTTTCCTGAAAAGTGTTTCCAGTTTATAATTAATTCTATGGAAATAGGTTGTTCTTTTTATTACACGGTCAGTGTCATTTGTTGGCATTTTTTCACATAACCACTCAGTTGACCATCTAACTGTCTTCTGTGAACAAACTGCTATTCGTTGTCATCTTCAAACATTTCGGGTCCATCACTTCATTGTGGAAGGAAAATCATGGTACCAACACATCGCTGTAAGACACACAAATCCATTAACTTGCAAATGGTTAGTGGATGTTAACTATTCTAAGTTCCAAACCATATACCCACCAGCCAGAAAAGAGTTTACCTATCTTGTAAGTAGCAATTTGTAGTTCATTGTTCTGATTATAATTTCACTAACTCAGAGAACTTAAAAATTCAGTTACAGAAAAGGTAAAAGAAAGAACACAGAATATAAGACATAAAATATTCTAAGCAAAAAATCTAAGTTAAGATGCCTCCATCCTAAAACAAATAAAGTCAAAAACCTCTTTATTTTAAAGTGATAGGAACAGATAGTTTCATGGCCGATATACTGGAAATAACAAGTTTCTCAGATCAAAGCTGAATACCGAAAAGACCAAAAATAAAACAGGCATCTGCCAACCACTGAATACATGTTACTAAATAGCGGTTACTAAGAAATGTGCTCATTAGTAACCTGTGAGCCAACAACCACCAGTTTACTTTCCATTGCAATAGAAGGAATTGAATGTTTACATTGGAAATGTATTGCTTGTTCAAAGAGAGTGCAACATTTTCACCTGGGCTGCTACAGATTGAAAAAATGAAGGAATTGAAAACTCCTGGACTCCAACCCATGTTTAGGAAAACAGACCACATATTTGCTTAGTTTGACTTTCTGTGAAAAGATTATTAGCTTCAGTGGGTACAATGTAATATCTACAAATTGTACATCAATAGTCTTTCATATTTTTCTATATTTTATATTTCAAAAGGTTTCCCAACTTCCTGCCCCATTCTAATATTTATCCTCTTAAAATTTTTCTTGTTAAGCCAAAAATTAAAAAAAATATATATATATATATCATGTAATCGATCCATTTTATTAAAAGTGTTTTCAGAGTGAAGGGACATTTTGTTGTGAGGTAATCAGTTGTTGATTGACTCTATCTGATTTATCAATAATTATTTGTGTTTTCAGATTCCAAGAAAATGAAAGCACCTGCAGAAGGTATTGGAAATATTTACTTACTGATTCTTTCTTATAAATTACTCCTTAAAGGATTGACAGATATAAAAGCTATACATATGGGATATAGGATAGAGAGAAAATATTGAGATTGAGAGAAAGAGGAACAAGTGAGAAACAATTAAGTCTTTTCTGACAATACTGCTATGAGAAATACTGGGTAGCAATAAAAAATAATGTATATGTTTATATTTCACAATAATTGTACAAAGAAGTATTTGCTTGACAAAGAAGTTAAACAATGCTTACTACCAAGCATTTATTTTACAAGAAAGCATAAATTCAACTAATCTTGGATACACCAGCATAAATTAGAAAACTAAATTGTTTCTTTAACTCTTAAAGAGAATCATAACTCGTATGACAAGTATACCTATTTCTTCTGTGTTTATTCATAGGTGCTTATGTGTTCACATGTGTTTTTGTGTTCACATGTATTTATGAAGGTTGCAAAGCATAAATTATTTAAAGTGGTTAGATAGTATAATCCTAAATTATTTCATTCTCAAATAGTATTCTACAATCAAATTAAGGAACCACCTATGATGGGAAATCAGCAATACCTCAAAGGATACTCACCATGTAATTTAAAGGGAGAGGAGCAGGGAGTGGTTGTAAAAATTGCAGTCAAATCAGTGTGTTGGGGAGTACACTTTATCTTTAAAGATTTTAAGAGCAATGGCTTTCTGTTTATATTTCTTTCAGCAGAGCAAACCAAGGGAAAAAGTAAGGAAATGCATGCAAATATGTATTTTTTTTCTTTCTTACTACTATTGGCCTGGCACATGTAGACTAGCTGATTTGAATCTCTGTCTTCTATATTTTATGCATGTAAACTATTTGCTGTTTTTTGTCAGGAATAAAAAATGCACAGCCTGGGGGTTGGAGTGGGTTGGAGTGAACCGAAAGGCATGACAATCATTCTTAGAATCCTTTTTCAAACTCATGCAGTCACCTAATAATATTATCCACAGCCTTGTGAACTAACATACATCTGCATTCCATTAACCGAACCTGTGCTACATTGGTGTAAATTTAGTCCCTATAATCTGGTTAGTTGTGTCCATAGAAAAGACTGAATAGAAATTGTTTTTCAGGCTAGTGTTACAACTTCTTTTCTATTTTTTAATTCTTGCAATCCAAAATGTTTTGGTATGTTCCCATGGTATGTAACATTTTGTCCATAATATGATTTTTCCTCCTCCAAGTGCTACTAGGAGCTCTGTGGAACTCCATTGCTTGGGATCCCTATCTTAAGTGATATCCATTGTTGCTTTAATACACAGGATTAAAGCTTTTTGTTAAAAATTCAGTAAAGCCTTGAGGTCATGTCCCTTGCAAATATATACTCTCCTCTAAGGAAAATAGGATATATCAAACAAGTATACACTTAAAAAACCCACCTCAACCATATTCAGTTAGCCTTAGAAATCATCACATTTCTTAGGTATGTAGAGCTTCTAAAGATTCCAGTAATATTAAAAACATATTTTAAAATATGCACCAAATAAAAAAAAATATTTATGCATAATTTGCTCCTGCAAAAGGTTAGGACACTGAGAGAGTCTATGTCATAAAAATGCTCTAAAATATCCTGTGGAGAGAATCATGAAATTACACTATAACTCAGCCAGGGGGAGCAACATTTCTATTAAGAAGGATTTGTTCCTTCAGTCCTAGACTTAATGTGTGTGCAAAGCTGCTGATGAATTCTGGCATGAACTCTGGCACATGAATACAGAAACCACTCTATAAACCATTGCATCAACAGAAAAATGAATGACAACTAGAGATTTGAAAAAATGGTATTGAATTATATATATAATTTTATATTTGTATAGCATACATATTTAAATATATAATATATAGTTATTATATATGCATATATATAATCTCCTTAAGGCCCTCACTTTATTGTAATCTATATGTATTGAACTATATATATAAAATTTTATGTACACATGTATAAAATATATAAAGATATATTTAAATATATGTTATATATATAATCTCCTTAAGGTCTTCACTTTATTGCAGTCTATATGTTTTTAAAAGTTCCTGTAGACATGCTGTGACAACTTAGCAATATGGGGTGTAATGATGTAGTTACTATAGACAAACTTTCTTAGATGTTTATTTATATCTCAGCTGCTTTCTTCCTTGGAAAGTTCTGTGGATTTTGACTTGGGCAGTAATAAAGAGAAGAAAAAGATTTGTCCTCTAAACAACTATTAATTCTTTTTAAATTAATATGTTTGTTCTGGTTTACCATCAAATCATTTTTATTATTGTTACTGTATCTTTGAATTTGTTTGATTTAGCTTTTTGTCTTTAAGATTATTTCATTCAATTATACATCTTCAACCTTATATTCTTATTTGGATCCTACTCTTGAAATTAACACAACTTAAGAAGTTGTACTTTTTTTTCAGTTTAAAAATAAAACATGTCATTGATAGGATTTAGAGGACAAAGAGAAGAGTACACAAGATTTTCCTGTATATATTTTTGTAAATTCTTGCAATTTGTAAGTTTAAAAAAAACAAAAATTTTAAAAAACTCAAAAAGTCATTCATGGGCATGATTTTGAAAGTACTGTAGCATTAATTGTTAAATTAATTTATGTTTATCAAGGGTAATTCAATAATTATTTCTTGAATTATTCCATTCGATAAATGTTCTCAATAATCTTTTCCTGACTATTGTTCCAGATTAGTACAGCACTTTCCTTATTTGATTTGACTGAAAGGCCTTTATTTTAACTTTGACATCTCACATTTAGATGGTGTTTGATTTTGATCAAACCCAAATCTGCTTGAAGTATATTTTTTATTGTCATCACTTTGCAGAGTTCTTATAAATGTTTTCTAATTGGTGTTCTACATCAGCCATAAATTAAGCTACACATTTAATTACTTCATATTTTCCAGACAACTTTTGGTAATGTTATTTTGTCAAATTTTGCTAAGTTGCCTAAACTTCTTCCCCTGCCTTGTAACCCTTGGCCAAGCCATATGTTTTCTTTTCCCACCTGCGTGCTCTCGTGGCGGGGGGGTGCATACATTCGTCCTCACACCTTCAAAACTAGAAACTAATGGACAAAAATGTACACTTGAGAGACTGCGTGCTTGATCTGATGATACTTTATGTTTATAAAATATGGTTCTTAGAATTCTTTCAGCATAAACATCTTCTCGTCTCCAAAATGTACTCATTAAACAGAACTTGAAGAAATCTCCCCATTCTTCTTTTGTAAAAAAATTAATCATACTGCATCTGTGTGAAGCATTTCTTGAAAACTCTCTTTTAAATTAAATTTACAGGTTTATCAAAATAAATAAAAATAGAAACGTACATAACAGCACTTTATATGAAATTAGTACTTATGCTTCATATAGAATTAGTTATTATAATGTAGATGCCAGTTTGTTCTTGAGGCCAGAATAATGTGTTGTCTTGTATGATATTGACAAAAGTGGGTTCTTACAAAGGAACAATACCTGAAAAGGACCCGATAAGGAATATTTATCCTATAAGCAAGGGAATGTGTTTTGCTTCCTTCTGAAAACTCCTAGTCTATTTTACTCTCTTAAATCTTCTTCAGCAAAGCCTTTGTCTTAGCAAAACAATTATCGCTTCAATATAAGAAAGATTACCCTGGAAGAAGTCTATATGAAATCTGTCCATCTACATCTGAAAATCATTTTAGAACAGCTACAATAAGTATCCTTTGTGCTTACTTTTATCCCAAATTTATTTTATGGTGATATAATAGCAAATTTACATTTTCTACCATTCATAAACTATTTTATTTTTCTGGTTAATTATCCATGAAAAATTTTAAATCCTCTAATATTCAGAATATTTTCATGCTGTTCTGTGAGGGAACTCTGTGGAAAAAAATACAAGGAAGGGCAGAAAACTGTACCTGGACAACAATTAAAATTAAAAAAAGAAAATACAAGGAAAGACTTGTTCTAAATATACAATATTAGTCTTTCTACAGCATTTACTATTACTTGCTGCAGTCTTGCATTAGCACACATATTTCTTTGTGTTAAAACAAGTTGTGACACAACTTGTGTAATAATAATAATAATAATAATAGTGTAATAATAATAATAAGTGTAATAATAATAAGAAGAAGTGTAATAATAATAATAATAATAATAATAATAATAATAATAATATGTTTCAGAACAGGAAAAGAAAGAAAAAGATGTGGCACCAGGTAACTGCTTTTAAATGTCTCTATTTTCTTAATTTCAAGTTTTTTATTTGCAATTGAATAGTGAATTGGGATTGAACAGCATAAGATGATGACCTGTTTTCTTTTCTTGTTGATACAGCAAAGTCACCTAAGAAGGAATATTCAGGTGAGTCAGACCAGTGTTGCTGGTTCTTTCTTCCTGATGCCCAATGTTTACTAATGCTGCAGCCTCAGGCAGGCGGAAGGGCCATGACAGGAAAGGGTAGGACGTTCTTTTCTCTCATAGTATTTTGTCCACGTTCTTCACGTTCTTCACATAGAGTTAACACTAAGGAAGATTTGGAAAATGAAAGTCAAATAGTATACTACACTCTTGTTACTCTGTGCATTCTGTAAACCAGCAGCATCAGAATCACCTGAAAGCTTGTAAATAAAACAGAATCTCTGGCCCCACTCCAGACCTACTGAGTCAGAATCTGCAACCTCCTGAGAGCCACACTCCTTCCTGGGAATTCATCTATACAGTGATTGAAAGGCACTGTTTTACAGCTTAGTGTAAAAAAAAATACAAACAAAAATAGAAATGAAACAGAACCAAAACACTTTCTGTGAATGCATCTGATATTATTTGCTTTTAAAATGTGAAATATTCAATTCCAGCAAATATTCTTTCCCTATTTCAAATGTTACTTAATCACATTTCTTAAGTACTCTGGGGAATTGTAATGAGAATAGATTTTTCCCTCAATATATTTATAGGCTAATGGTGAAAACATTGAATTAGAATCAGACAAGCAGAAAAGCAAACATAAAAACAAAAACTAAAAATTCAGTTAGTATAGATATGATATAGTTTCTAAGAGGTTTCTAGCATTTAATTTGCCTTATAATTTGTTTCAAATGAAAATAAATGCAAATTTCTGAAAATTTTTATTGATCTCATTTTATTTTATTATTTTATTTAATATTGTTTATTTACAGTTGTTGTGCCTTTTCCCCCATTGCTTACCCCTACCTCATCCCCTTAACCTGTTGATTTTGCCTGGCAAACTTCTACTCAGGAAATCTCACTGATTTTTCTAGTGTGTATATAGAGGTGGTCAGTACTTAATATAATCTCTATTAGTCGTTCCTGCTATTTTATTGTACTTAAGTGAAAATAGCATTTACTCAATATTATGTAAATAATCATGCAAATATAGCTCAACTATACTCTTACCCCTGTCACAGACAAGGACTACCATAGGTTTGAAGTCATATTTCCTCTTATTATTATTCTAAGTTTGTAAAACTTCCTCAGACAACCCAAATCTATTTGGGTATCTCTCCAACTAATTGTCATAGTATCATTTTCTTTCTTTCATAAAAACACTGATATTCTATAGTAATCACATTATCTTTTCTTCTTTCACTTTAAATAACCAGAATTTGGGGGATAAGAATTAATTTTTACATCTTTGTCTCCAGAGTTCTTACTATAAAGTCAGGTGCATAGTGGGCACTTGGTAATGAAGGACTAAATGGAAAGAGAAATACCAAATAGGATAAACATATTTTTTAAAAAATTTAAATATGAATGACTTTCAACTAATTTACAATATGAAACAATCACACATTTCACAACTTCAGGTTAATATTGATATTAGTTATCATTTCAGAAGGAATATTTTTGTTTATCTCACAGTGTCTGTTCAGGGGTAACATCCCCACATGTGAGCCATGACACATACTCTCACTTACACACACATGTAGAAAACTAAAATTAAGTATGCAGCATAGAAACACAGAAAGCAACAGCATGACTATGGGTAGAGTCAGTTTCAAGAGTTGTAATAGCTAAACATTATTGTCTAGTATTGAACCTGACAAAACACAATCCTTTAAGTTCCTTAAAATCATTATCTGTCCATTCTAGGGTTTGATGATGATGTAGCAGCTTAGCAATAACTAGCTTTGTTTTAAAAATTGAAACCATTGGATAATTTACCAATTCATTTCATTCTTTCCATACCATTTTATAGGCTTTAAGGAAAAATAATTGACGCATATAAAACCATTGATTCTTAGGTATTTTAGAATGGAAAACAAAATGAATGAGTTGTGAATGAGCATTCTGTGTTGGAATATCAAAAAATATTTATGGCTTGTGGTATATGTTTAAAGTATATCAAAGGAAATGGCACAGTGTTGAATTTTTCTCTTCCTTGGACCTATTTTTTAATAGTTTCCAAGGTTATAATACAGTCTTTAAGAAATGGAAATAACCCTAAAACTGTTAGAGAGAGAGACAAGTGCCTGTCTAATTAATTTAGACTTTATTATTTCTTGTCCTTAACAGCACCAAGTGAAAAACAAGTAAAAGCAAGTATGTTAAATAAAATTTCTAAAACACAAAAAGCGTATTTCAGCAGCTTACTGATATAAGTTTCTTGTTGTAGGTGTTGCTAATGCTAATTTTTAAAGCTGGCTTACCAAGTATTTCTTGCTATGATTATTTAATTTCTTGAAATAATGTGCATAATTATTTAACCTTGTATTTTCTGTGAATTCATCCTTATTAAAATTTATCTGTGAATTTTTCATTTGTAAATGTTAATTTGGCCAGATCACAATCCCTTTTAGAGCTGTTTGTGTTTTTGGTTTTTGTCTCCCATTCTGTGTAGTGTTAAGTGACTCTTCAGTCTCTTTAAACTCATTAGATTTAATTTTCCTGATGATTAATCACTTGATCAAACAAGTAGGCAACCTAGTTTGTTTACCAGTCAAGTCATTGTGTCTTGAATACAATGAAGCTCCCTCTAATTTTATTAACTATTACTGTTGTGATGTCATAGTTTTCATGTTAAGGCATGTATTATCAGATTATGAATATTGACTGACAACTGTGATACACTGTGGCATTTTTTTCCATCGTAGTTTTGACAATATACTTAGGGAGAAATGTTGATTATTTTGTCAGTATTTCTTGTTTCTATAAAGTACCTAATAGATTGTCTTAATATAAATTATTTTGGCATAATTGCATGTTTAATTTTAGAAAAAATATTCAGTACTTTTAGCTTCTCTAAACTGTATAAAAGATTTATAGTTAAACCTCAGTTGTATATATAATGAATATGTTTATATTTTTGTTTTTAGTTAGAGCTCCTTAAATATTGAAAATGGTACTAATACAAATGGTACATAAAACAAATAGTACACAAAACAAATTCATTTTTATTTATTGCTCTTTTTTGAGACAGAGTATATGATTAGAGAATGTATCTGAGAAAATTGTAAATACAATATGAGTATCTTGTTGAAAAAATATCTTTTAAAATTATAGATGGAAATGTTCACATAGACATAGCAGACTTTGAAAGAGAGGTTTAATGTTAACCAATTATTCTGCTTATATTGTATGAAAAATTTTACTTAATATTGATATGATTAGAACTCTATATTACAAAACTTTTAAGATGCTAATACTCAAGTAGAAATGCATAATCAAGACAATATATAAAATAAAACTGATAATTTCATAGCACTAATAGAGAACTTTAGATTGAAGATTATTCTAAATGAATATTTTCTTCATAAAAAATATAGCATGTAGATAAATATTCATTTGCAATTTTTAAAAAAAGTTGTAAATTCTGCTATCTATGAAACACACTATCAAATCAAATTTAGAAGAGATCAGCATGTTTTCCAGGAAACTAGGTTGCCAAATCACCTTAGACCCAACATGAAAGTTTCAGCAGAACTCATATTCAACTCCTTATATGGCGGAGAAAAGTAGATGGCATGGGCATTATTCCTCAATACAAAAATTAATTAGGTAACTCATAAATTGCTTAAATTCTCAATTAACAATGTAACCAGCCATTTCCCCTGCTGAAAATGTTAGGGTGTTTTTGGTCTTAAAACCATACAACAATTTTTTTAACATAGCTGCTATATACAATGGGCTGTTTGTAAAGTTAATGCCTAAGGTGAAAATTGCATATTATTACTAATACTTAAAATTCCTTAAATCACCCGTATAATAAGGTGTACAGAGTTTTGCATATATAGCTTTAACATTCAGGATATTAATTTATATGATCTTAAATTATGAGAGCAAATGAAATAAAGAGATTTATAGTTTAATGAACATAAATTGTGTATGTGGTGAGATTTCACAATATTGAATGTAAAATGATAGTTCAGTTAACTGGATTAGAGCAAGTCAATGGAAAATTTACTTTTTGTCATTAGCACTCACTTAAATGGAATAACTAGCCTGTGGGAGTTTGTGTGTAACATTGTTTACTATGGAGCCAGAGGAAACCCAAATCACTGTAGGAAAAATACTGGAAGACACAGACAAGTTTGGAAGGTATATCAACTCAAGGTCAGGGTCTTCACGGTACCATGAAAAACAGAAGGGAAGTATTTTAAATTCAATGATGAAACACTAAGGAGGGATACATAATGCTTCCACATATAAAGTTACATATTGGGTATTATGTGGTTGGAGGAAGAGCGCCTTGGATCAAGCAAGGATGCCAGACCTCCATTTACAGTTCTGCAAGTCAACAAAAAGTCCCTTAGCATTGCACATACAAAATTGCCTCCACACACCCAGTTCTCCTCCTTGCAGTCTCTGGCACTTACTTCTGCCCACATGGGATAGTGACATAGGATTTGACAACATCATTAATTATTTCCAGGTCTGCAGAGAATCAAACAAGTAGATTTTTAGAGTCCAGCGCGTTGCAGATCTTCAACACTTCTCTTGGTGAATCTTTAAGAGGGTGCGTAGTAGACAATGTTTAATGAATATATTGGACCACACCCATTTCTTCAAATACTACTTCAAGACCAGCTGGGTACTATACTTATCAGGGGGTCAACTTCCTAAGGTATAGAAGTGTTGTACACCTGTGAATAATGCATTGTATGCCAACTCTAATTAAAGAATAAATTTATAAAAGAAGAAGAAGAAAAAAATAACTGGGAAATACTGACACACACCACTTCATTCCATATCAAGGACCATGGGGCTCTGGTCCTGTATTCCATGTGCATGTTCAACCAGTCAGTGGTCAGTCTGAATTCTGAACAAAAACGTAGCCAAGGTAGAGGTCAGGACCAAAGTACAATAATTTTTAATCGTGGGTCTAAATGCGCATGAAATGGCAACAGCCAGGCTTCTTCCATCCTTTGAGTGTAGCACTAGGCTAGACTTTGTGGTATGCTCAGCTACCAAGCCTGACTATGTTATCACCTTAACTACATTTCTATACCTACATGTATGAATCAAATGTCTGTCACTTAATCTACATGTCAGGATCATCCAGAAGGAGTCAGCATATGGCATTTTAAAATAAAGTCTCTTTAAATATATTCAGTTATATAATAGTAGAATAATATTTGGGGACAATTTATATTTGTTAGAAAAGTAAAATAAGTTTTTGGACCCGAATACTCTGTCATGAAAATTACTGGAGGAAAACATCTACGGGCCTGAACCAGGAGACCTGATACCAAATAGGGTGTTCATGACCACGTACCTCAGTTCCTTAGGACAGTCTTGCTTTACTAATATTATTCTCCAATAATTATTAATAGCACCTCCTTTTACTTGGTTGGTTTGGATAATAAATTATATGATTACTATCCAAATCACAGATGATGCTGACAAAATAAACTTAAAATGGTACAGATAAAGTGTCAGGGTGATGGTCTGGGGAGGTTTCAGGACCAGGAGAGGTAGAATGTGGGAGACCTGGAGCAGACTTAGGTGGCAGGGCAAGATGTGCTTCTGGTTTAATCCTACATACAAACCCAAAGCTGACATCCTGGGTGACAGCTCCAGACTGGGAAATACCATGGTTCAGAGTTCAAGAATGCTCATTAATGTAGTTCAAAAAGATCCAAGCTAGATCAATGAGTACTAGCAAAAGTAGAATCTGAATTCAGTTTAAATGTGAGAGAGCACAGGGAGAGGATTCTAGATGAGATGTCAGAAACACATTTTAGTGGCAGGAAAATGTAATGATGAGTACATTAAAATAGCTCTGTAAAGTATGACTACTGAGAATAGTACTATGTGTTCCAAGTCTTAGTAATAAAACTATCTCCTGACACTGATTTAAAGAGTAGAATGGTATTAATGCATACTGAAACAAGTTTTCCAATTTGACAGAATAAAGGAGATCTAAAACAGGTCCCACTTGAACAAAAACAATGATATAAGAATGAGCAACCATTTCAGACAGCTGGAGAATGGATATATTATTTTTAAATGTTGCTGATGTAGATGGTATTCATTACCCAAAAAAAGTGTATCTGTACTTCATACAATTCCAAAATATCAATTCTATATCGTCTAGACATAAATAGTAAAAAAAGCAATTCATTAATTCAAAAGAAAGTATAAGAAGACACACACACATATATATATATGTACACACACATACACATATATATATTTGAAGTGTTGGAAGACTTAATTTATATATGCAAAATCAAGCCTTAAATTACAAAGATGATACATTTTGTCACATTAAAATAAAGAACTTTAATCCATAAACACTATAAACAGAGATGAAATTCAAGCTACAAACTTGGAGCACATATTTGTAGCATATTTAGGTAATAAAAAATTAATAGCAAACATAATTTAAAAATAAAAAAACAAGATAAAAAACTTGATAGGACAATGGGCCAGAAAATGGGTAGAAGTTATAAACAAAGATAATAAAAACACAAATAGCCTACAAAGATTTCAGAAGATGTTCAGCTGCTTAGTAATAAAGGAATTTTATTTAAAACTACAATGCAATACTATTTTACACATAATACATTGACAAAATATGGGTAAAAACTGATCATTCTGGTTGTGGTGATGATAGGAAGCAATAGACACTCTAACATACATTGTTGGTGTGAATGTGAAGCTTTTACGGAAAAAAATGTGGCATTTATCTAAAGAAATAAGACATGACCACATGCTATCACCTAGCCATTTGACTTCTAAGAAAATGATTTTGCACTGCAGAAAGAATGTATAAGAATGGTCATGCCAATATTATTTATATTTATGACCAATTGGACATGACCAAGTATCTGTTGGAAAAAGAATGAATATATCATTTGTAGAATGTGTATACATTGAGCTAGTATATAGAAGTTAAATAAATCAACTACAGCTACTCACATCAACGTGACCTCTGTAGGAAGTCAGTGTAATTGAGCACACCATGATTTGAGTAAGGCAGCACCAAACCTGAAAACTGTGTAAGGGTTCTCCACTGGCGGTGCTAGCACTGAGGTTTTTATCGAGAAATGAGAAAGTGGAGCAAACAAAGGAGTGAATTGGCTATAACATAAATTGCCTTATTTAGGAACATTTCATTATTTGGCTGTTGTGATAGTTGCTATTGAGCTTCATTTTCTCAGATTTGAGAAAAATCTAGTTGACCCTGGCTTTGGTTTGTTTACATAGACTCCCAAAGGCCATAGCGCTACTCCAGTCCAATGGCCTCCTTATTTAACTATTTTACCACTGCGTCTCGACACGACGTTTTGAAAAAAGCCAATCACAAAAATTACACAACAATATACTTCAATTTACATACATTTATTTCACCTAAAATGTAATTTAATCTCTGTAAAATGGTCTTACCTTTGTTCAAAGACAAACATATGTAATAAAAAAACTATAGAAAAATAAGAAAATAATACAAATTTAAAACCATGGTGATTGAGATGAAAGGAGAGGCATGCAGTGATAGCTGGACAAGTAAGAGGTTTCAAAGAGTGATAATATTGTAGTTCTTAAGCCTACAAAGGGTTTCAAGGATGGACCTTTTTAAATTATTTTTCATTAGAATGTGCATCCACATATATGCCTTAACACCTTTTATTTGCATATATTCCACAATTAAACAACTTTCAAAAAGTAGAGGATGAGGAGATAAAAGTGGTGACGTTGAGCGTAGCAGCTCCTCTGGAGGCTGTGATGGACGGCAAAGATGAGGGAGCTGGCATGTGGGGCTGGGACATAGAAGTGAAGGTTATGGTTATCTGACGTTGTGAAGTACAACACATGTTCCTGAGCTGATGTGAAAGCACCTGTGATGTGGAAAACTGATGAAGTGGCAGGTAGATGGAACATTTGGAAGGACAAAGGCCCTGACTAGGCAAAAGGAGCCGGGATGAGGGCAGAAATGGAAGGCTTTCTATGAAATAGGAGCAGGGCCAGATATTCTTTTGGGACTGAAAAAAAGACAAATGGTACCAGTATGTGCTGGAGAGGCGGGGAAAGGATGAAGTAGTCTAATCTGCTTCTGTCTTTTTCAATGAATTTCCCAACAGCAACTTGTCTCTATGTTGCAGGATGTTGGAAGTTTGAGGAGGGAAGAGAATGTGATAAAATTTTACCAACTCATTCTTATTTTTCTTATTTTCGTACAGATGAGAAAAACCTTCAGCTTTATTAAGCCTTGATCTGAGGTTCAAAGTTTTGTAGCAGGACCAGTATTTCAGATTATGTATGAAATGCAGCTCTCCTGCCTTCCACACTAGACATTCAGAGAAGCTCCAAGAAGGCATTTGGGTCTTCTTAATTCTATTTTTTCTCTTACAAAGCAATATTTGAATAGAATTTTGTATTATATTATAGCTAGCCTCTTATAATGTAAAACTAATTGATTGAAATAAAATACTGCTTGATATCCCCATAAAGACTAAGCAAAGAAGGCCCTGCAGGTCCTCTTTCCCCTAATTAGTATCATTTTAAACTTGACTAATCAGTTAGTGTATTTTGTGGAATTAGCTACCTTCTTTTATGGTCATTACTTATGTAAGCTAAAATTTTAATACTTTGTTGCTGTATCTTGAAAGAAAGTTTCCGTATTACTATGTGGAAGAAAGTTCATTTGTTTGTAAAAAATACAAGCATGCTATAGTTTGGTTTTCTCGGCTGCTGGCTTTGCTCTTTCCTGCTGGACAGTTTAGTCTTGTCTGACTTACAATACTATAAAATACCTACCTGGCATCTATGGTATTTATTTCTCATTCTTTAATATCTGAATTTGCAGAAAGTGATAGAACCAAAGAAGAAGTTGGTGCTGCCTCAACTAGAAAAGGTAAATGCGACTTAAAGAAAAGGGTGTAATGACTCAAACTTATTTCTGCAAAGATTTCTAACAATCTCTCCTTTAGTGCTCACAGAAGAGCTCTATTTATTGATTTTTCTATTCATTGATATGAAAACAAACTCACTGTGCACAAAATTTATAGTGCCTATATTAGCAAGGCTTCGTCTTCAGTGTTCTAACACCAATAGTTTTATTCCTTTAGGGCCATAAACTAAAACTAGCAATTTTAGTTCAATTACAAGTTAGTTTTTGAAAAATTGAAGAAATGCAGCTGTTCAAGCTCAATGGGATTCCAGTCACCTGGAGAGAGTTCAAGTGAAACATATGGCCTTAGGTGGCTGGAGCTCAAACAAATGAGACTTTGACTAGTAGAACTTACATGAACAATGTTCATTTGTGAAAGAATAACATCAAAGTGAAAAATGTATTCCTTGGAATACTCACTTGGAAACATTTTTCTTTAAGAAACATATTAGGAAGTTTGGGTTAGCAAAGGACTGTGCGGGGAATTGACTGTAGGAGTATGGGGATGTGGAAGGGGAGAGCAATGGGGAGAAGGCAGGACAACTGTAACTGAACAACAATAAAAAAGGAACATATTAGGAAGTTTGGAATTTAAGTTTTCAAAGCTGTTTCTCTTGTTGAATCAGAAGCAACTAATTATGTGAATATTGGAGACAGTTTTAAGAATGTTTTAAGAACATTAATATACATTAAAAATAATCAGCAAGATGAAAAGTTGTACATATTCCCATTTAGGAATAAACTGTAACAGTTCTGAAATTCTTGACTCTATTTTACAAATAGACAGAAATTAAATGAGTAATGTATCCAATGTCTTTGGAAGTATCTTAAGAGACAATTTAACCTATTCTCAGTATATACTCACATGCACACACACATAAACCTATAAACTATTTCAATGACAAGGTTGTGGTCATCAAATCATTGGGTTTCTCAACTAGACAATTATTAATAATATTCAAAAGAGAATTTTCAGAGGAGTGGCACAAGTAAAAGCTAAAGGATGACAAATTGATTGAGGGAACCAAGTAACAGATGCAAGGAAGTTGCAGGGAATAAAAGCAGAAGTAGAAAAGCAGCTTGGTGTTCCTGTTTAATCCATATCCATCTCTTTCTTAGTTTTAGAGGTAAGCGTTTGTCCTTCTTTTCAAGATCAGCTGTTCCATTTGTGTCTTCGTTCATCACCATCCATGCTGTTTTGTGGCATGGATTTGTGGCATCATCCTTTTTGGTATTGGCTTTGTTCCTCATTTTGGAAATATTATCATCAGCTTCAAAATTACTTTTTCTGCATTCCTATTGCTCTATAATTTTCTTTCCTCCACAGGTTAGTCAGTCTTCTGAATGCTGGGGAGCCAATGTCCTTTCTCACTTTCCATGAAGATGAGGTTTCTATCCCACCTCTGGCATCCATGCTCTTGCTAATGCTGATGACATTGTCATCACTAAACCAATGAAACCATTCTAGTCTCCACATTACTAGATTTCTCAGTTGAATTTACCTATTTGTCTTTTCTCTCAGCCTCTCCACTTTTGGTTTATCATGCCAACATAGTCTCCTGGTTCTTCCTGTATTCTCTGGCATTTATTTCTGACTTCTTTGTGTGTTTTTTTTCATCTTGCTGCACCTTAATTATTGATGTTCCCAGAATCCATTATGAATGCTCTGAATTTCTTATTCTACAATCTCTCTTTGTGCGATATGTCACTCTCATGGTTGAAGATCTGTCCTTTTACCCTAAACATTCCCAATTCTGTGTTGTCATTTCAGAACTTCATGAAATGTTTTTTCCCAGAAAATTTCAGCTACTTTGTTTTCTTCATATTAGTTGGGATCCCTGAAGGAGTGCAATACACGTCTACTTTTTTTTTTTTAAGTAAACCCCTCCAAATGTAGAGAAAAGAAAATCTCTTCCCTAGCACTGTGGGAGGTTGCAGTGACCTTGTGGTTTTGAAAGAAAAATTGATTAAGGTCTTTTGATTTGAAGCAGTTGGAAAATCCACTTGGATGAACTATTTATTGCTAACATTTATTGTCCATAGAATTGGGCTTGATGAATTTTACATCAGGACCAGAAATAAAAGGATCATTATTTTATGCAAAGTGTCTTCTTTTTTATGTAAATATTTGACATTTTCAGTGACCTTTTCTGAGTAACAGAAAGCAGCACTGGAGGAGACTAGCCTCTTCTACGTGATGTGAGTTGAGTGCAAGGCCTTGTGCACAAATAATTAAAAACAAACCTTAGTGTTTATGTGTAAGTCACATTCCGGTAATTTTCTGAGAGACATTTACTCTTCAGAAGATTAAAATAAAACAGTTGAAAAATGCATATTTTCTGCACATTATTAATAATGTGTTTTATCAATAGAAAAATTATGAATAAAACTATATACCCAAGATCTATTATAATTGCAGATCTTCAGTGTTCTATTTCCATGTTGACTTGAGAGAGAGCATTAGTAGAAGAGACTAACATAACACCCATCTCAGTAACTCCTTACTAAGCATACATATTAAAATTTAACTCTTTAGTTTGGAATTCAAGGCCTTCTGCAATTGGCCTAATCTTCTATTTTTAGATTATTTAATACCTTTTCTGTGGGAACCATCAAACCAATGTATGATGAAAAACATTGCTTTGGAACTTGGGATTTAACTAAACAATGTTTAGAGTGAAATTTATATCCTTTAAAAATATTCATTAGGAAAAAAGGCCCTCTGTACCTCCTCCTTGGAGAAGTATCTGTTCAGGTTTTTTCCATTTTTCAACTGGGTTGCTTGTTTTCCTAGAATGGAGTTGTGTGAGTTCTTTGTATATTTTGGAGAGATCTCACCAATAAGTGGAACCTAATCAACAAAACAAACAAGCAAGCAAATATAACCAGAGACACTGAAACAAAGAACAAACTGACAGTAACCAGAGGAGAGGTTGGAGGGGATAATGAATGGGGAGAAAACAGGGGAAGGGTCATCAAGGAATAGGTATAAAAGACACAAGGACAAAGACAAAGGGGATAGGATCAAGGGTGGGAGGTGGGGAGGGGTGGGGTGGAGGGATTTGTCGGGAGAAAATGGAGACAATTGTACTTGAACAACAATAAAATAAATAGATAAATGATAAAAGTAAGGAAAAAAGCTAAAATTCAAGTATTAAAGAATCCAATAAATTCTTAAATATATGAAGCATAACATCAAAAGCAATTAGAAATTTTAAATTTAAGAAAAAAGCTAATAGAAATTAAATTGTACAACAGAGAAAGCAACAAAATAAAAGTTAGATTCTCTATAAAAACTAATAAAATTGATAGACCTTTATGAAAAATTATTAAGAAAAAGAGGGAAGGCATAAAACATCAACATCAGAAGATAAACAATTAAAGATCCTACAGATAATAAAATATAAACATTTTTAATGACTTTGAAAATTTTAATTACATTGATATTTTGAATCAATAATTATAATTGTTCACCAAAGAAAATGTTAGCCAGATGGCTTTAGCCACGATTTTTTTCAAAACTTTAAGAAAAAAATTAACAATCTGCACCAAACCCTCCAGATATAGATGAGAAATATTTACTCATTTTAACCTTAATATCAAAACCTACCAGGAACTGAAAAGAAAAGAAAATATACAGGTTAACTTCTCTTGTGAACATGAAAGCATAGACCTGAGCAGATCAAGTCTGATATATGTATGAAAGATAAAACACAAGCAAGAGGGTTTTATTTCAGGAATGCAATTTCAAAAAATTAGTCAATGTAATTAACCAGAATAATAAAACAGGAACAAATAAATGCATCATAGTAGATGCATTTGATATAATACATCACTAGAGTAGTAAAGATCTTCCTTTAGCAAATATCATACTTAGTGGAAAAAAAGTGGAAAGATTTTCTCCTGAGAATGAAGACAAAAATGTATGCTATCACCACCTATTACACAGTGTACTGGATATTGCAGCCGTGGAGTAAGGTGAGAAGGAGAAATAATAGGCACAAGAATAGAAAAGTAAGAATGAAACTCATTGCTCACAGATGAAATTATCACTTGAAAAATTCAAAAGAATGTACAGATGAACTCTTATAACTAATGAGTGAATTTAACAAGTTTTCCATAAAAAAGCACCATTCTCTCTCTCTGGTTCTTCACATTAACTTTTTGTAACAAATTATAGAAATGATCCCTGAAAGTAGAGGCTTCACTTTAACTTTTTGGAAAGATCATGGCCACTTACCCCGTAGACATGTTTTAATGCTCTGATTGTGTCTTTGGAATATGTTTCTTAGGAATACTATTTAATATGTTCTCTATATCCTGCATTTCATTAAACTGAAAGCTAAATCTTTGACTTACCATGATTTTAGTTGTTTTGTCAAGAATATTTCAGAGGTTATACTATATACATCACAGATGTATATAGTATACATCTGTGTACATTAGGAAGTACAGAATGTCTAGATGTCCTGTTATGAATGAATGGTTCTAAGTTTTATCAGTGGCTTAGATTGGTACATTTCTTCATTCAAAGTTGCGTTTTTCACCCTGGCAACTCAGTGTCATGGTACTTGGCTGTAATTACCATATTCAGTTCCCCACTCATCTTTTATCTAAAAGTTGTTAGTAGCCTCTGAATATCTTTACTTAGATCAATTTCAGTGCACTACACATTCTGTGTGAATTATTCTTATTATTTTGATGTGTAAATAGGCAAATAGTGAATATTCTACTGGGGCAAATTAGTATCAGAGAAAGCATAGGTCAGAGGAAAGAGCACCTAAATGATAATTTTGTTTCCCTTTTGATTACTGGTGATTTGGGATGACTTTCTTTAATTTTAAATACATCTCATGTAGACTACACTGTCCTTTCAGTAGCTTAAGCTATATTAAGTTTGAATTTAAAAGAGCATCTAGTTGGCATTTTAAAGACACTAAATAACTCCAGCAATAACCTGTAATGCAAGTCGATTAATCATTGTCCTGTCAAGTAGAATTCTTTGTAGAACATATTTATCACAGTACAATATAGAGGAGTGAAGTAGAAAACAGTTGTGAAAAACTAGTCAAAAAAAGGCAAGTGATTTTTTCTCTAATTCTATAAGATTACATTTCAAATGGGTTTCAGTTGGATTATTGAGAAATAAGAAATGTTCAAAAGCTTTGAAATAGCTTGTTTAAGTGAAAATATTGGTATTGAATAGGTTAAAATGCTTTTTTTGAGCAGAAGCAGCATTTCCGTGAGGAACTTTTTTTTAATCCTTATCTCTGCTTTGCAGCTGTACCTGGAAAGAAGGAAGAGAAAACAACCAAGACAGTGGAGCAAGGTAAAAAAAAATGAAGGAGTTTGACATTATCTTCTTTAGAAAGACAACAACATGAGGAGGACAGCACTGGACTCAGACAGGCGGAAGACAATAACCTTTAAATCTATTGCTCTCTGTCACTGTCCTCGCATGTTTTTCTGTGCCAGGGAGAAGGTGAGGCAGCAATCTGGGTTTTGTTCTTTTGTATAACTAAACTTTGAATATAAGTTTAGAACGGGAAAACTCCGCAGTCTGCTTAATTACATCGGGAACAATGCTGAAGATTTGGGGGAATAAGGGAATGATCCAGGGCAACTGGTAGATATTTTTAAGTTTGAATTGTGGTTTTAGCAACATCTGACCAAAAATAGTTTAAAAAATAAACATGAACAAATTCCATTTATGCAAAAACAATTTCTATCGCTTGAAAAGTAATATGTAAAAATTTTAAAAAAGGAAAAAGCAACAACAAAAGTAAGTTACTTGAGTTTATATTCTGACTTCAGCAACTGATTCTCCCAAGAGATCTGAAATTTAAAGTTTATATGTCATAATGCTACAAATAATGCATTTTTATTTTTATTTATGCAGCTATATAATACAGATATCACTCCAGAATATGTTTGGGAAAATGCTACAGCACACTAGAGCTAAAACATTTAAAATGATGTTAGGTCTTTTGTTAGAGGTCTCAGTGCTATCAATTTAATTGTTGCCAGCCCATTTTTGGCATTTTATATATTCTAATATCATACTATTTATTATTTAATATAATAAAATCAGACCTAGCAATAATTTTGTCAAGAAAAATGTCAAAATAATTTCTCCTCTTAAATTTGAGATGCAATTACATTTCCATTATTAGAAATTTTGAAATATTCTTCAATTCCTCACATTTTAGATAAGTAAACTAAGGTTAAAGATTCCATTAAGTTAAGGTTAAGGATTCAGTTAAGACAATTAGTAAAAGATTTATTTCTTTGGGCTTTTCTAAGTAAAAATCACATTGAAAAAGGTTTCAAATTCATTTTGGTTCCAGTCTACTGGAACTTTAGAGTTCAGTAGACTGTTTTTGTCAACTTCTTTTGAAGTGAATGTTTTAGTGTCTGAAATATTAAGTAGAGGAGTAGGAGTACTGGATCCTAATTTCACTTGTTCACTTGGCAAGCTTCTGAGCCTAAATTTCTTCTTTAAAAATGAGGGTAACTATACCTGACCTGCTTACCTGTCAAGACATAAAACCAAAAGAAGAAAACATAAGTGAAAGAATATGAAAAATTATAAATTCCTTGATAAACATATAGTATTTACTGAAGCATTTTTCTTATAAAATCAGCTTTATTATAGTGAGATAAACTGTCAATTACTTTGATTTCACTAAGCTTCATACTTTTCTCCTATGTAGTATAAAGGTATTGATTATTCATTTTTATGGCTTTTATAGATTTCCTTGATAGCCACCACATATTAGATTGATTAGAATATTTAATGGTTACACTAATAATAGTACCTAAAAGGTATCTAAAGTAAGCACAAGTTGTTTATTTCCTCTTACCTTCATGTGGGTGTTAGTTTTATTAATTCTATAATGTTTCCTCAAGTTGACAGGAGACTGAAGGTGGCTTTTAGAGATATAAACCTACTACTTTAGAAGATTTTGTATTTCATTTTTTAATTAACAATACACTTTATCTTATGAAGACCTTAAGCTCTTGGCTTATGTAAAAAATCCAAGAGGTGATTTCAATGGCTTTCTTATATTGATTTAGTATATCATTTCAGTTTTAAATATTGTAAAGCAATGGCTTCATAATTTTCAACTATAAAAGTCATAAAAATGGAGTATTTGAATAACTTGCATATTTTGTGATGGACTATGACTAGTAATTGATATGAAAATATATATTTTGTGATTTTAATAAAGCAGAGAGTTTATGTGAGAATAAATCAGTGGCATCTTGTAGATTTCATCATAGAGTTCTAATATTTATTCATAAGATGATGCTTTGAGACTGTTATGTACTTTTTTAATTTAGTTTTTAGTTATCTTCCAAATTATGCATAACCTCAAACTAGTTCATAGTACATTGAAGTACAATTAAATACTTTATAAAGAGTTATTTTTTATTCATTTAAGTTTTAATTAATGGAGTTGTACAAGGAAAAACACTTTAAAATTTTTATAACTCTTTATGGAAGTCAAATATACTTCAGGATCTATGTAAAGTTGTATATATTGAACTTCTGGACTTTGCACTATAATTTGGGAAACTTGGGAAATATTAATTAAACTACACTGTATAGGAAATTTGGATATTAAAAGATGACATGAGTTTTGTGTTAATGTAACTTTGCAAACTCAAGTTATATCATAGGTAGAAATTTGGTTAATCTAATTTCTGCAAAAGTCCAAAATTGTAATTCTGTCTAAATAATGATGAATCATGTGTTTTTGTTATTATTCTTATAAAGATCATAAATTGGCTAGAATACAGTTTTGGGCATTAAGAAACTCTTTATAAATCCCTTCACGTTAAGGTGCATGCACATGCACACACACACAGCCATACACATACACCATTAACTATTCTCCTGTTTAGAAAGCAGTTACTTAGAAGCCGCAGGAGAAACAAATATTTTCCACTATAAATGTTACTCATTTTAGGGTGAGAACTGAGGACTGCTAAAGATAAAACACATGTTATTGTATGAGAATTCATCTTTATGTATTTGTATATTATGTCTAGAAAAAGTATATCACCTTTCATTAAGCTCAGTTTATTCATTTGTTGATAATTTCTCAGATATAGTGTGTATTTGCCTCCTTCATATTCCTTTCCAGGATCAACCTGCCTCCCTAAATCCCATTTTCCTCTCTTTTTTTCAATACAACTTTTTCTGAGAAGAAAAGTTTGAATAACATTTGCTAGTTGCTAGCCAGGGGAGCAAAACAGTCACTGTAAAGAAGCATCCAGGGTCTCACTACTTACTGAGGCAAGGGAGGAGGCCAGTCGGAACAATCAACTTTAAAGACCTGAGTGATAGATTGGAGTCCCAGAATCTCCTTGATTTTAATACGCTTTCTTTCAAAGTGACTTAAGTTCAACAGTGAAAAAGTGAAATAAATAGTGATAAATTAAATTATTCTCAAATCATCTTTCCTCTTATTCATACCTGTGTATGACATCATTTAAGTTCTTCTTTGAAAGTCAGTTCTGAGAGCTTACAAATAGTGCTGCCATACAGTAAGTATTTAATGAATATTTATGGGGTAAATGAAAATATAGAGGAACTGCAGAAGAAAGAAATATTAGGTTATCCAGACTTTAGTGAGCTGTACCTCCATAAATACTGTGCACCTCAGACAATATTTTAGTAAATCAAAATGTGATTTCCAATAGGGGAGGTTGCCAAATATTTCAGAAACAAGATGATAAATGATTAAATCCTCCAAATACTCCCACTTGAAAGTAGAAGTAGTAAAAATTAATACACATGCATCATTAATTAATTATACCATTAATGTGGTATTTATAGATAATGCTCTTATATAAATAAAACTGTATATGTAGTCATCTGGTTAAAGATGTTGAAAATATCAAAATGTAGTAATTGTAATGATCATATTAAAACTATTTTTTAAAACAAAGTGGAAGAGAAAATAAAACAATTGTCAATGAGGACAATGTATGAGTTTACAGATTGAAACTTTAAGCCTTATCTTTGCTTTTCCTACTTAAACAATTTGGAAGAAGAATTAAACTATCTGTTATTCCTCCCAAATATCAAAATTGTCTATTCCACAAAGTTTTTAAGTAGCATGTTCCTTAGAATATAGAAGCTATTCCTTCTTTAAGGGAAGGCCTGTCTAGAAGGGCTTTTATCTCTAAGATGCTAGAGAAAAACACACTTTAAAACTTGAGAACTTACTGATACTTCATTATCCCAAAACTAAACTAAAAGTTTTATTACAGAAATATTAAGTATACTTTTCCATCCCCTTAATAAAAAATCATTTAAAAATACAATTAAGTATAAACAGGGCAAAAATGTTTATGAAAAATATTAAATAGAATTGAGTGCTTATTAACCCCCCAAATAAATTTGAACTAAATTAGTTATCACTTTATAAAGGGTAAAATTGAAAAATGTGGATCATAAATGTATTAAATGCAGTTTATTTCCTGTAATAAAAACAGCATTTTTGTCTTAAATTAAGAAATGTTTCTAAATTCATAAATTTGCTGATTTGTGTTCACCTGAAGGGTTCCTGTCTTTTGTTGCCTCTGATGCTATTTTGTAAACAGTGCAACCCTACATAATTGTATTAGTGTTTTAAATTGTCACAGCAACAGGTGAAGCTCAAGTACTATTACATGATTTGTAAATTCGTCCTCATCTACCTTTTCAGATTCTCCTATTCTTTGTATCTGCACTGGTCTATGTAGAATCTGTGATGTGTATCTATTGCAGTTTTAGCTCATACTTTTACATGGATGTTAATAATATCTAAGAGTAATGATTTCCCTAAAGGGAACTTATTTATTTAAATGATGAATGTTTATATTTAATGGTGTGTCAGTATTATTTTAAAAAGGAAAACAATTTTACAATTAAGATTAATGGAGTAATACTGAACACTTAGTTAACACAAATTGTATTAAATTATTTGTTTGAATCGTGATTATAAAAAAACCTATTTGCACATGTGGACTAAGTCATACTGTTGACTCTCAATAAATGTTAAATGATAATAACAACTTATTATTGATTTCTGTGAATTCTAAATTTCTAAACAATAGCTTGTACTTTGGTTGTTTAATATTTATTGAGCGCCCACAACAGACTAGGCGCTGGGGATTGGGTGTGAAGAGCATGGAGCTGGCTTCAGAGAGAAGATGGTCTGCATACGGAACCCATGCAACACATGCGAAAATGAGTATACACTGCTTATTTATATATTTTATATATTTTCAAGAGAACTTCTTACTATTCTCCACTGTCTCACTTGCTCACATAAC